TTTTTCATCAGAACAGATTTGGAGAAATTGATGGAGTGGAGCCGTGTGGATTAGGGTAATGTTTTTATCAGCTGTTTGAACTCTGATTCTGATGGCACCCATTCACTGCAATAGATTCACTGGTGAGCAAGTGATGTAATGCTGAATTTTGCCAAAACTGCTCTGATGAAGAAAAAAGCCCATCTGATGCCTTGAGGGCATGTAAATTTTCAGCAAATGTTCATTTTTGGATGAACTGTAACTTTAATTAATCTCTTTATAATTAAAAAAAACAAACATATCAAGCATATCAGTGATATCATATATTAAAAATAATTCTAAAATAATTAAGAACATACTGACTAAAATATCAACAAGAGAAACATAAGCACCTAACTATTATTAACCATTTCTTTTTTAGTTTCTTTATATAGTCAAATTAACTAACCTATCATAAAAATTACCAGCCAATCAGGCACAATACAGCTTTACTTTATTGTTAGTGTGCCTTCAACAAAGGTTCGCAAATACTCCTAATGCTCTCACCGTCTAGTTAATGGTTAGCTTTTTTAGCTAATGTGTACCATCCAGTCTCCAGTGTTCTGTGACTCTGGTACCTCAAACATCTGTCATTCAATGAGTTTTAACAAAACAAATCCCCAAGGAGTTCAATGGTTCTGCACTAAAGAAAAGTCATCCTCTGTTATAAGATTTCCTCCTTTCAGCCATAAACAATACTGTAAATCAAACAAGAAGCCACATTAAAGATATATTCTAACCCTTTTCAACATCATATTTATTATGTACAATGTAAAACCTGTGTCAACACAGCCTCTCTGATGTCTATGTTTTGTTTGATAGCTAAAGAAAGAAGCATCCAACTCTTTAAAATGACTCACAGTGATAGTCAATGGAAGGCTTTTTTCTTTTTGTATTCATTCACAACTTTTCAAATAAAAGTGTCTGTTCATTTGAACTATATTTAACTCAGCTTCTATTAAATGTTTATAAAAGGTTTGATTGCATTGTTTACTTTTGACTTTTGATGGTATCATTCAAGAAAGTGGTTATGGTTAATTGTCCAGTTTTGATATTTGTAATGAATGGACTTTGCTGAACTGGTCTAACTACTTTAGTTAAAAAAGTCAAACAAAATGTATTTATGTATATATCTGTATATATATTAGTGCTGGGCAACGATTAATCGCAATTAATCACAACCAAAATAAAAACATTTTGTGTACATAATATATGTGTGTGTACGGTGTATATTTATTATGTATATACTAATTGCCTTGGACAATATTTCTGTACTTTCCATGCTTAATTTATGTGCTTAATCTATTAGCAGCATTACCTTTGGGAAAACTCTGTCCCTGATGAATACAATGACCCTTTGCTTCAGAAGCCTGTGCAGGTGCAGGGCTGCTGGATTCACAGAGCCAGTGACCTCCCTGTGGGTGTAGGGCACCATGTGCGCCCTGCTAAAAGTCACCGAGAGAGACAGCACAGACACAAAAAGAAGTAAAAAGCCAGCGAGGACTGTTACAGACAGTTCCCATAGTGCCTATAGGCCTAATGCTTGAATGCTTTGAAACAAGAAGAATAAGGATGCAAATATTCAATGCACTGCAAACGCTTTGATGTTGCACATCAAAAACACAGTCATAAGTCACAGAGGCCATTGTTGGAAAGGCAGAGGTGAGCTCTACTATAGATCAAACAGAACGTCTGAAACAGCACTTAAAGTGAAGGTGTGGCGGTTATGAAAAATATCTCTCATTCAATGATTTTGTTGGATAGTTAGCTACTGGGCCATGATAAAATATTCAGACTGCATCAGACAGGAAGGGCTTAGTAAGGAAACAGGAGTGAGTCATGCAGTGAGATGCATGGGTAACTTCATGCTCTCTATAATGATATTAACAGAGAATCTCTGCTGTCGCATGAAAATTATGAATGACGGTGGTAGGGAGCAGGCTAGGAACAATATATCAGTCTGCCTACCAGCTGCACTTATTATTTATAATATTTATTACATTTAATACATATTCAATTTAAACAATTTAAAATGATTTAAAAAGATTATGTGACCCTGGACGACAAAACCAGTCTTAAGTAGCACGGGTATATTTGTAGCGATAGCCAAAAATACATTGCATGGGTCAAAATTATAATTTTTTCTTTTATGCCAAAAATCATTAGGATATTAAGTAAAGATCATGTTCCATGAAGATATTTTGTAAATTTCCTACCATAAATATATTAAAACTTAATGTTTGATTAGTAATATGCATTGCTAAGAACTTCATTTGGACAGATTTAAATATATAAATCTCAATTTAAAAAAATTGACCTTTATGACTGGTTTTGTGGTCCAGGGTCACATATGATATAAAATATTTTTAAATTTTCTATTGAACATTAAATATTTGACGTATAACAATTAAAATAATTATTTATAAAATATGTAAAAATACTCTAATTTTAAAGGGGTCATATGATGCGATTTCAAGTTTTCCTTTCTCTTTGGAGTAGCGGGCGTGTGTGTGCGTGAGAGAGACAGGGTCACATCACAGTGGAGTCAGCTGTCTTAACCGTGGCTTGTGTACTGCAAACACATACCAGCTTCATCACTGTGTCTGTCACGCGACTGTTCCCCTTTCGGGCTCTGTCTTTACATTTATTTTGAAAGATGAAGCTCGCAATTATGGTAAGGGGCGTTACATTTCCGACGAGTGCTTGCGGTGTTCGGCCAATCACAATGCACTGGGTCAGCTGGCCAATCAGAGCAGACTGCGCTTGTCGGAAAGAGGGACTTTGTAGAAAACGAAGCGTTTGAGAGAGGCGGGGCATAGAGGACCTACAATAATGTACAGTATTTGAAAAATAATGTGTTTTTTGAACATTAAAGCATGTCAACATATTCTGTTACACCAAATACACAAAATAATGATTTCAAAAAGCATCATATGACCCCTTTAAATGATATGTAAGATAATGTATTAAAATACACATTAAATTTTCCATATACACAAACACACATACAAACCCCATTTAAGTCTACCTTGGTCAGACAAATTGATCACAGAATTATTTGTTGTGGACCGTAGGCTGGAAACATGCTAAGTTCAATGACACTAAAATAATATCAAAAGCCACTTCCATGTAAAGTGCAATGATTTCACTTGGCAAAATAATGTAATGTCTCAAATTATCTTAATTTGGGGGCCTAGAAAATACTGATATACGTCATTTATAACCTTAACATATAACCCATCATTTACAACAATCAATTATTAACCTTAATTTGTGTAAATGTGCCCAGCAAGGCCTCTTTACTCATTGCTGGGATAAAGTTGTTTCTCTGCAAACAAAAAATCAATGTAGATGCAGCTAGTAATGTGTCCTCCTTGTTTTAGGCCAGTCTGAAATCCATAACTATCAACTGCCTTGACTCAGCTGAATCCAGACGAAGAGCACATTAGGGGCTATAACAATCTTCCATTAGCGGTCCATTCAAGCAAACAGACACAAGTCTCCTAAAACATACTGCTCTAAAATACAAGCAAACGTTTCAGCTGACCCCATTGTTTCGGTCTTTCTCATTTTTCTTGTCCTCTCTGAGGAAGAAACAGAGCCGGGCAGAGATAATGAAAACTAGAATGAGGCCCAGCCTGACTCCATCTTCTTTCAGTCTCTCTTTTCCCTCCAGCTTGCAACAGTTCTAATCGGTACCGGGCCAGACTCCACTTCCAAACGCACCTCTCGCCCCCCTCTGGAGAAAGCTGCTGTTGCATGCATAGCTAAAAATAGCACCTCTGGTAACAAAACCCTGAGAAGTAAAAGGTGAGCATCCCATTGCAGAGTGGAGTAGGAAACCTGAGAGTAGGTGAATCTGAGCTGTGGAGGAGGGGAAAGATAGGAATGCTAGTGGATGAAATTAAATTACGCACCATATATCATCTCTAGACCTTATTTCATTGCAGTCAGACGCATCGCATTTTATGCAGCAAGTCATTCAATCTTCCTAAATAACTTCATTAATCTTCTGTGTATGCATCTTTAATTAATACTTGACAGCAAAGTGGAGTTATTTACATAAATCGGTCAAAAAAATGTGAGCTTCTCCCCATTTAAATTTTCTTTAAGTGGCAGAAGGTACTGAGAGAGAATCGCAGGTTTCTCTAATGCTGTTTTAATTGCAGGCTCAGTGGGAGTATCCACAGGGTTGAGCCACAACTAAGATGTTGCCAAGTAAAAGGATTTCTCAAAATTCGCCATATGGCAGAAAATACCTCTATAGGTGGTGAGGGGGGTGTGCAGGTAAAAGCATGTGGTCATGTTATTTGTGGTTAAATTTCTTTTTTTTTTTTTTTAATTTTTACACAAAATATAAAATCAATTTTTTATATAAAAAACTGCCTATTAAACACTAAAAAGTGTTATTTTTAAACTACAAAAATTGATATATAAATGTTTCCTAGGGATTAAATTGCAACACAATCAAAGCTAGCAATAGAGAACGAGTGGAATATCAGCATCTAGTGGTGTGGTGAGGTCACTGAGAATTACAGAGCATGGACATTGAATAAGAAGTGGAGCTGGGTTTGATGCAGTTGAGCTATACATACATACATACAACCATTCATAATATTCTTCCAAAACTTATAACCTAAAATTACATGCACTTCTATTATATTTGATGTTTGCATCATTAGTTCTGTTACTTTCTTTTTAATACTGTATAGCTAGATTGAAACTCTATAAAGCGCTATAAAAATAAAGGTGACTTGATTATATTTGTAACTTTAACCTCCATTCACTTTTTTAGATGTCTACTAGATCATGTTACCAGTTAAAATGCAAGCTGCACTGTTTGCTCTGATAAATCCAAGATTTAATCGTACACGGTTCTCATTAAATTAATCTTTAGAAATTCCTAATCAGTATAGAAACAAACTTTTGTTGGGTTGCCAGTGGTTATCAAATTTCACTAACCGCTAAGCTCTATGAAATACCTCCATGAATGATTGCAACACAATATGACAAAGACTGCTGAATGGGGGATGGCATGTGCATCTCTGGATCATTCAGAGCATGGGTCCAACTCAGTGGGAATATGGGCCCAGGCCAGGTCACATGGCCACAGATACCATCTGATGTGGGCAGTTTTGCACCTTTAATTCATGACGGAAAAAAAACAAAACAAGAGTTTAGTTAGTGGACTAATTCAGCTGCTCTGAGTTTCCCAAAGCTGCAGTCACAAAGATTATAAATGGAAACCTTTTCCCTGTAGTAGATCCACAGATATGAATACAAAGTTAAGTCAAAAATCAAACAGAATTGTACACAATCAAACTATGCAAGAGGGGTCCCAGATTGATACACAGATATACTTTATACTTATTTTGGATAGGTTTTATTTTAAGTATGATGATGATAAAACATTTCATAGATAGATAGATAGATAGATAGATAGATGTTGTTACCAGATGCATTTAAGGCCTACAACTTTTCATCCTACCATTAAAGCCAATATAAATCGTATTTTTAAAATAATATGTAAGCGTATAATGTTTATTGACAATATTCAGATGATTTGCTATCTGAACCCGAGATGTCAAACTTATTTTATCCACACAAGCAAAACTAACCTTCTTAAAGCCTGTGAATTATATTACAACGCAATATTTACCCTCAAACGTGGCCTTAAAGTTCCTCGTGTAATAAAAGGCAGCAGCAAATGTTTGTCCTGTTCTCACAATATCCTTGAGCTACAAGAAGCGCCCTGGATAGGGGCGATGACACTTTCACCTCCTACAGCATCCTTGGCCAGCATTCGGCCTCGAAAACAACTAACTTGACAGCCTCGAAACGCCCGAGTTTATTCACCCAAACATGGCTGGTCACTTTCAATGAGGCTGCGTTTATATTTCTCTACCATTGCCGGCATCTCCAGGCTGTGATGCTTTGCGTAGAGCAGCAGAAAGAAGACCGCGTCACTCAGAGATGCTCAGAGGCTGAAGCACGCGGGATGCGCGAGGATTACTGAAGCAGCAGCGGCCGTATTAAAGAATCACAAATCTAGCCTGCTTTTATCTCCTGTGGAACCAGGCCAGCTGCTTGTAATGCGTTAACCCTGACAGCGCAGTGATAGCATCGCTCTCTTACCTGTGTCGCTGTTGGTTTGGCCACATATGATGCAGTGGGATTCTGTAATGCGGTAAAGGCGGTAATATCCGTCTGTGCGCCCCTCTCAGAGCGCGCGCTCGCTTCCCACGCTCGCTCCTGCGGGCGCGCCTCTGATTCCAGCAGGACAGGTGTCCCATCATCTGCATTCGAGCTGCACTTCAGCAGCGTCACACGAAGCGGCAGTTTAATACCACGTGATTAATGCATATATTAAGAACAGATAGGCCTAAATGTGACCCTGGACCACAAAACCAGTCATAAGGGTCCATTTTTAAATTGGGATTTATACATCATCTGAAAGCTGAATAAATAAGCTTTCCATTGATGTATGGTTTGTTGAGGGAATAGTTGAGATACAACTATTTGAAAGTCTGGAATCTGAGGGTGCAAATATTGTGAAAATCGCCTTTAAAGTTGTCCAAATTAAGTTCTTAGCAATGCATAGGACCTATTACTAATCACAAATTAAGTTTTGATATATTTACGGTAGGAAGTTTACAAACTATCTTAATGGAACATGATCTTTACTTAATATCCTAACGATATTGCATAAAAGAAAATATACCCATGCTGCTTATGACATAAAGCCATAAAGGATTATAGGCTGCTTTATTTTTATAACAATATTTTGACAGGATTATTCAAATAGGACTTTAAATCTTACATGTGCATTGCATGTAAACACAAATGCACCCCGTTGGTTATAGATTATTTCTGAAAGGCAATGTGGTTTGTGATTACAAATTACACAAATTAACTATTAATTTGGCACTCAAACAAAATGGTAAACAAACAAACAAATTTTTTTTAAAAAGAAAGTGACTTTTTATTCAGCAAATAATTGCATTTGTTCAAATTGTTCAAAAGTAACTACAAAGACTTTACATTGTTCAAAAAAAAAAAAAAAAAATCAATTAGCCTAAATGCTGCTCTTTTGAAAATTCAATTAATAAAAATTCTGAAGAAATGTGTATTTCCACACAAATACTGAACAGCATGGCTGTTTTTTTTTTTCAACACTGATTAATAAGAAATGGCTCCTGAACATTTGTGACCACCCTGGACCACAAAACCAGTCATAAGGATCAATTTTTTGAAATTGAGATTTATACATCTGGAATCTGAGGGTGTAAAAAAAAAATAATCTAAATATTGAGAAAATCACATTTAAAGTTGTCCAAATGAAGTGCTTAGCAATGCATATTACTAATCAAAAATTAAGTTTTGATATATTTTACTTTACTTAATGTCCTAATGATTTTTAGCATAAAAGAAAAACAATCATTTTGACCCATACAATGTATTGTTGGCTATTGCTACAAATATACCCGTGCTACTTATGACTGGTTTTGTGGTCCAGGGTTACACACACACACATACATACATACATACATACATACATACATATATATATATATATATATATATATATAATTATTATTATTATATTATTTTTTTTTTTAAATCAGATAAATGTAGCCTTGGTGAGCATAAGAGACTAATTATTGCTGACCCCAAACTTATATATATCATAAGTTGTCATTTACTGAAAGAAACAGATAGTGGATTATACGAAACAATATCTTTATAATGATAGGCTGAGACATACTCTTTCTATATCAATGGCCTTCTGTTCCAGACACACAGCGCTCTTTGATAGGAAACTTTACATCATCCATTACAATATAGTGACACACTGGCCCAGTTTAACATCACACATGCTGCCTACATGAACAGAGTCACACAGACTATCCCCTTGAACGCATTTCTCCATTTAAGAGTATTATAAGCATCAGAAATGCACAAACATCAACAAATAGACACAATATGACAACTCATAGACATTATCTGCTAATTGACTTTTACACATAAACACTTTGTAGCTACAGAAATGATTATAAAAAGCAGCTTTCAATATTAAAACTGCAGGCAGTATTAAATGTAAAGATGCAGCTAGAAGATGAGAAGTAATTGGAGAAAATCTGTGGCAGGAATATGGTTATTTAAAATAATACCATTTGCTCTAAATTATATTCCAGAGGCCATACATACAACTGTGGAGCTTCAAAAAAAAAAAAAACACAGCTTACAGACCAATATTATTTAAAAATTATGCAGAAAAATGTCTCTGAGGAGTTTACCTATGGACAAATATATGGAAAGCAGCTGGGAAATCTAATCTTGTATGCAGCCTGCAGTTTGTTCCAGGCTCCTCAGCTTGCAAAAGTCAATCCTGCATACCAAACCTTGAAGACAAAGGCCTGCACTGCTATTCCCACATTATATACAGATTTGCCAGGCACTGACAGACTTCTCTGTGATGTTTGGAATACAAAGTTAAACTGCTCAGTGCCTCGCTTTCAATGTTTTAACGCAGTTTATGCCAAGCAAAGTCACAAAATGTACAGGTCAAACATGCCTGCAGTTACTGTTGTGTGTGCACGCACACATATGCTGCCTCTAGTGGTCACAAAGAGCATTACATTTAGCCTAATACTGACTACGACTTCATGCTTAATTTGCGCTTAATAGTACATGGTCTTTAGAATATGTACAATGATAACACCATGCTGTCCAACAATGAGAACATTTCCCGAGTTCACACTTACATATAACGAACTGAGTAAAGGTTATGCGTATTTGGCGTATGTCCGGGGAGAGGGCTCCGAGCTCGGTTTTTAGCCCGGACCCAGAGCGCTCCCCCCGAGTGCTCCTCCCCGTGCTGGGGTAGGAACGGGCTGAAGGTGAGGAGTGGAGGTGGTGGAGGGATGCCGAAAGACTAGAGATAGTGAAGGTAAGACTGCTTTGATTATTTATAGGGGTTCTTTCTCTCTTGTGCTGGTTGGATAGATGGTGTAATTACTGATGATGGATTGGCTGTGTTAATTATCTGCGCGTGCTCCTCCCGAAATTTGTTAATAAAACATCACTTAATGACATGTTTTAGTCAAAATTCACTTAATAACATCAGCCAAGTGTTTGCAATTACTTCCTTTTGTGATTCAGAGAATGAGGCAGAAATCAAACTATTTATAGTATCCTATGCAGTGATGGAAGTCGATTAACATTGCATCATAAATATACTTTTTTCTTATAAAAAATATCCGAGATGGTTTGAAGAACACAGATAAATCATATATTGTCGCAATTGTTTACTGTGTTGATGTTTCATCAGGCCAAACGTCTCTATTTGCATTTTATTCACCTACACAGCAATAGCTGGATGCCTTGCCTTTGTCCTTATAAGGGATTTCCTGGAACATCATAAGTTCTGAGTCCCACTTGTGGAGTTTCTAGCGAGGGCGCCCTCTGGCTACGAGTATGAATGAAACAGACATTACCTTTATACTCGCTAATGCTCACACAACACCCATATTTTGGGTAAAAATAAGAAAAAGAACACCTTTCTCTAAAGAAACTGGAAGTAAACATCCACATACATTTTTCTCCAGTGTAGAGAAGTGTACAAGAGTTTTTTTTTTCTCTCTCAGTGGGTTTTCATGACAAAAAAATAAGAATACTGTAACAGATTTTTCTATCATAATAATTTCATATTTTGTAATAAAACCTTGTCCTAATGTCATGTTTAAGTGATAAACTGCACTACCTGTGGTTGTTTTTAGATGGTAGCGTGTTTTATTCTTGTGCTACAATTGTGTGGCCTGTGCTACAATCCTTTCAACCTCTATAGCACCAGTGCTATATGCAAAAAAAAAATAATAATACAAATAACATACATATTGTAATTATTCAGTACCCATATAGTAGAGCTATGTCATATAGTAATAGCATATGATATCATTGCTGTAATATGACACCACCACCACAGAACTTTGGGGAATCTTTGAGTGTCAGTTTACTTTAGTAAGTGTAGCAACAGTTATCAATATGTTGTGCACTTTTTGTCATTTTCATTCGTTTTTTTATATTTATATTTAGCTTTATTTAATTTTATTTCAATTTTTGACAAAGTAATTTGAGTATTTATTAACTGTTCAGCTTTATTTCAATTAACAAAAACGATTTTTCTAGTTTTAGTGAACAATAGCAATACTGCTAGACTAGATCAAACTGATAAACGGTATAAAAAAATCTCTTGGTGTTAACAGAGGGCTGACACCAAAAGATGGCGCCACAGATTCATTTGAGAAAACTAGTACACATTACATGCTTGCCAAAGAAAACATTACATTTGTCGTTCTTGTTTTAAAATTTTACAAGAAAATACATTTCTATCTAACCTCACTTATTGTTTAGTGTTCGCAGAGTCCGTTATCTTCTAGTTTCTAAGAAATTTGTGTCTGTCCTTTACCACAACATGTCTCTGAAGTCTCCTATATTTTTGTGAGAGTTTGCCATAATCTGAGATATTTGAGGTATTTACCCAAGATATGTCTGTTTTGTGTTTTAACCAAATTTCCCATTGGTACTAGATACTTGTTGATGTTTTTTTCCTCTAAATGTAGTGTTTTTCATTGAAGAATGCTGTGTGTGCTAATTTGAGACATTTCTTAAACATATGTTTTGGGTACATATTATAGGCTAAGTGTTCTTCAACTCTGTTAATTAGTGTTTTATATCGAATATTTAGAATACACTGTCACAAAATGTGTAGGGATTTCCTCATTTTGTTTATGCATGTTTGAAGTAGGCCTCATATTGTGCTTTTGTGTATATATGCAGCTTTATGCAGGACTACATTTCATGGCGACATATTGAAGTTGATATATTTGTATTATAGAACATATACAGTCATTTCCTCTTTTTACAACTTTGAAGGAAAAGTTGTTACGTGCCACTGCAGTGTTTGATGTCAGGCGTCATGATGGGATGCAATTACCCGTATTTTCCACTAGAGTCTGCTATTGTTCCTCTTAACCCAAATCCTCTGTCTTTACACATCCAATGAGAACTGGCTGAGCTTTGAAGCCGGAATCCACAGCGCAAAGTCGCCAATCAAACAACCCGGTCAGATAAACAGAAGAGAGAGAGAGAGAGGGAGGAAAGAGCGTGCGTCTCATATGGATGAACAGAGACGCGCTCTTGATTTGGCCCTGATCTTCTGCTAGTGGACACCGGAAACGGCTGCCTGATCACCATCTATCAAAGAACAACGATTGAGCCTGAGAGTAAACGAAAAGGT